TATACCGACACCCCCCCAAAAAAAAAAAAAAATATATATATATATATATATAGATATCTATATATATATATATATATATAGTGACCAAACAGTTCAATGTAGTTACTCTGAGGGTAGTGGCCAAGAGGATTTTGTATATATATAAAATCCTAGGCTAGTTTAGGGCAAGGTACTTGTATGTGTCTTACCAAGATAAAGATGATAATAGTAATAACTACCCAAATAGTACCTTTTCTTTCAGATATGAATACCTGGTTTGTTGGATAAAATTCATCATGAAAACTGCAGTTGCTTTTCTGCAACTTACAAAATAGTGATTTGATATAAAAATGAGTGAGTTTTCATTATATGTAAGTTCAAATGGTTAAAAAAGAAAAAAACTTATCTGATATATCATATGTATGCCACTCAGAGAAACTCACGTCCTTGAATTCTCCTGTTGTATGTTTTATGCCAGACATTTTAAATCAGCATACTAAGGCTTCTCTGCTACATGCAGGTTTCTGCTTAAGTTGCAAAGTATCAGAAATTGTGTCTATGTCTGGTCCTGAAAATACAGGCTCAAAATGGTACAGATTTATTCATGTAGCATTTTCCCATACCCTAGCCCTACAAACCACTTTAAACTAGCTTAGTAACATGAACACTGCCCAAAAAACTAGGTTTTAAGTAGTCTGAACACCGTTTCTTCCTCTGGAACCCATCTCGACAGCAGTGACTCTCCTGGCTCACTGCCCACCTTAGGCAGATGTGTAGAAGTACCTGGGCTTGGCATTACCCAAGAGGTCATCCTCACAGTTAGGGAGGCAGCAGAAGAAAAGGGCACAGCCAATCAGGATGATCGTGGCTGCCCACCCAAAGCCATAGGCCCAGTTATAGATGTAAGTGACAGCAGAGTTGGCATGAAGGTCGAAGGTCTCAGCGTATTTCACAGGGTAGATGACCAGGATGACAAAGCCACAGAAGAGCACAGCAGCAGCTGCTCTTCCCCATATGTACTCCAGGAGGCTCTGACAGCCATCCTCACAGGACCCACTGCCACTGCCTTCGTGGAAGCAACTCCACCACAGCGAGGACGTCTGGATGTGGTCACGTGACTGCAGCCAGCCACGGCCAGCCAGTGTGATGATGTCAAAGGCGATGGTACTGAGCAGGTGCAGGGGCAGGATCCACCTGCAGCGCTTACTGTTCTGTGGAGCACAGGAGCGCATGGGGCGCTGCGAAGGAAAAGAGTGGCCCGCGAGCGCTGGCACTGGGACAAAAGGGAAGAGGCTGCCAGGAAGCAGCTCCCAGAGGATAACTTCCCAGGCTGGCTGCCAAATAGTACTTTTTAGGTGCTGATAGAAGCGCTCTGAGTACTATAAAACATTATTAATATTTCAGACATTTTAATATACAAAGACTCTAGGCTACACGAAGTACAACTATAGTTTATGACGTTATGATTCATGCGTCCCTTAGAAGAAGACGGTTAAAGCCGATGGAGCCTAATGGACACAGTTACCACCTCTGAGAACATTCTGTGATACACAGCCATGAGCCAGTTCATGGTCCAGCCAATGAAAGAGATGAAAATAAGGGACTCCCTCATCATCAAGCTGCTTTCACGCTACCAGGAAGGTATATGTTCTGGAAGTTTGTACAACAACATGGGGAGAATGACATGAACTGGAAGTCCAAGAACAAGATGTGAAGACAAAGTAGGAATCACGTAGGCCAACTATTTCGTTAATGGGAGAATTAAGAGTGTCATGGGAGACACGAGATGATTCAGACAGTGAATACAGATATGGACAATGCTGAGATGAAAGGGAATGGAAAGAGCACATTTAAAAAGTTGAAAAGAACTGATGGAGCTAAATGGTGCAGAGCTTTGTCAGCCATGGTAAAGAATGCAGAGTTTATCTTAAAGAGAGCGGGAAGAGACTCAAGTGTGGTTTTCAGAATGAAAGCAACATAGACAGTTCCGGTTTTATAAAAAAAATCACTGGTGCTACAGACTGGAAAATGGACGTCTAGGAGCAGTGAGCTGGGCAAGATGCGATGTTGGCCCCTAGCTATAGATGTAGCAGTGCGGATGGAAAAAGTGGGGCAGATGTGGGAGCGAGCGAGGGGACAGACTGGTAGGATTTGGATTTAGTTAGTGGAGAGGATGACTACACTATGCTGTTTCAGCTGTCCCTCTACCCATAGGAACTTGGCAAATTTCTTTTTTAAAGAACTACTTAATTTTATTCATCACTGTTATTATTATTTTCATTTGACCGAGGTGGGGGAGTAAGCAAACAAGCCGCCAGGTCCGAGACTGAAACCATGGTCAACCATATGGGAGTCCACTGCCTTAACCACCACACAACCTGTCAGCCCTGGAACTTAGCAAATTTCTTTCTTTTTTTTTTAGACCTGAATTAACAGACTATATTTAGAGCGTAAGGTGTTTTAGAAATGCCAAGACTGCTTGAACCTGAAAACCCCAAGAGAACACGTGTATTATAAAACGTAACACAAGGATACAGGGCAAGCCCGTCCCCATCCTCCTCTGTCCTCGCCCTGCTACCTGCCACCTGCGTGCACCTTGGTAAGGCCCATGAAGGCTCAGGGCAGCCAGACTATCAGCTGTCTTTCTCTCTGGGCCAAACACCCATGAGTCTGCTATGAGGCAAGACTATTTAGAGTGTGTATACATTCTAGGTCAAACTTTTTATCTATAAAATCTCCCCTCTTCCCAAGGAAGACACTTTCACACTTCTTCTTTAACTCATCTGTATTTGTTACCACCTCTTTAAGCAGAGTATAATTTGGGCACACTTCCATTCATAAGCCTTATTGAGTTACTTTTCCCATGGCTTTCAACATACTCAAGTTGGCTTATGATTATGTTTCTCTAAACACTTTTCTTTGGAAAACAAGCCCTGTTGGAGAGTTCCTCCCTCAAGCTGCTTCAGCTTAACCTATTTCTAAAGGACTAAGACTAATACATGCAGAATTGGTAACTACAGGGTATGGGAAGTTAAAAAGTAGATCTCAGGGGACAAAACTGAAAAGCATTTTAACAAATAATTCTTTCAAACATCAAGGTATCTCAGAACACTTCAACAACAAAAGATTTGGTCTACTAAGAAATCTGGCTTGGACAGCTAAACACTTCTTTAGACCACAAAGGAACTTAGCAAATTTCTAATGTTAAAGCTACTCATGATGTTGTATAGGTCCAGTCGTTTATCAATGATCCCCAAATCCAAAAAGCTCTGAAAATAGAAAAGTTTACCATAAAAATGACAGCAAAACGTGACTTGAATTAACAGGTTGTTTTCTGTTTTTTTGTTTTTTTTTTTAATCTTGCCTCATCTTACTCTGGATGAATATTCATATATTTCACTGTAGAAATATTAATATCTATGATTATAGAGTGCAAATAGAGGACATATTAGGTTTGTTAGGTAATATAATAGATGCAATATGTGTAAATGTTAACCTTCTAAAATCTGAATTCATTGACACATTTGCTTGGCCCCAGGGTTTCTATTAAGGAATTGTAGATGAGAAATTTTCCACTTTCCCTTTTGTACTTTGGAGATAGCTGAAATGGTGCAGCTGCAAACCACCGACAGCAGACAGCCCATCAATTTTGTGTATGTCTATGTATTTCATAGGAGACGTGGGATACTGGTAAGTCTGCTATTACTGTTGATTGTGCAGTAAAATACAGAGTTAAAAACATGTGTTTTGGGTACAGAGTTAGAAACAACACTTCACAAAGTTGGCTTGTAGGAAAGTTCTGGGTTGATGTTCAAAGACCTCCATGAACACAATGGGTGCATGTGTGCCAATGATCCAGGGCAGGATGAAGCTGGGCGTGGATCCTTGCATGAAGATCCTATTAGGGATGCCCGTCTCTCACACTCATGGAAGTTATGAATAGACCAAATGTGTATTTTCACCACTCACCTTTGGTTGTGCATTAGAGAATGGAAATGTTCACTAGCAGGGAAGTTTCATGCCCGCACAAGGCAATGTTGCCGAGACAACCCCATGGGTTTACTCCCTGGAGTCTGGTACTTGTTTCTTTTTCTTTTCTTTTCTTTTCTTTTTTTTTTTTTTTTTTTTTGGAGAGGTTTTTGCTATAGGGCGCATGTGCTCACCAGACAGACAGAGACAGACAGAGAGACAGAAAGTGAGAAATCACCCCCCATAGGGGATGGCCACACTGCAATCCCTTCTCCTTCGTTCTCCTCTCGGGATCTTGGGCACACATGCACACGCGCCCGGCGTGAGTTTTTTAAGCCACTGGGTCCAGGACATGAACCGCGGTCGACTACATGGGAATCCAGTGACATAGCCATTACGCTAACTGCTGGTCCCTCCGGTACTTGTTTCTAACAAGATGACTGCTAGAAGACACCCTGAACATCAAATGAAACCAATCCCAGCCCTCCTCCTACAACTACCAACATTCACTCACGTGTATATTTTAATCTTTGGCACAGTTCTCTGCTAGGGGCTTAGGAGACTACAAATGAATGATACATGATCCCAAACTAGTCTTGCAGACATTACGCCCAAGAAGATGTTTGACAAATGTTTTTTAAAATGATAAACTGGAAATAAAGAGACTTAAGCATGAGGTGAGAACCCCACACTGCTCATTTTAAGTAGAGACCATGAAGAGAGGGGAGAAAAGGGGATCTAGGGAAATAACCGTTTTGATGGGTGGGATAAGGAGACAGGTGCATAAAAAGGACTCGAAGCACATCTCAGCTGTCCTGTCATGTGACTCCCCATTGGTACCTATTGAGAGATGCTGTGAAAGACATACCTTTTGCACCAAGAAACGTGGGGAGTTGGATATACGTTCCCTTTTGATTGACACCAATTTTGAAGCAATGCAGATTTCTTTGGGTTGCAAAGACAACAAAGTAGGGAGATTCTTAGCAGCTTAAGCCCTATTGAAATACTGAAGAAAATGGCCAGAGAGATCTTACCTTCAACACAAGAAGGCTGAGCTCGAGTGGTGCCAGCGACCTGTCCCGGGAAGCAAGAACACTTGACCGTCTGTGCCCGCTCTTCTATGCGGTTCTTATTGCAGCATCTGTGCACAGCGACCACCTCACAGGTCCCTTGCTTGATTTGGTGGTGGCCTGGTAGTAATACAAGAGAAACACAGAACCAGCGCTGTTAGGGGGGAATGAAACCAAGAACAGGAGTGATACTGTGATTGACATTTTCCAACTTCCTGTGCTCTGCTTATGATAGTACGCTTATGAGTATCTCTTACCTTCTATCTTGATGTGATTTCAATTTTACATAAAGGTGGCAAGAATCATGCAGAAGATTCCTATGAACCCGTGAAGGCAGAAATTTGGCCTCCAGGATTCTAAGTCCCTGGGGTCCTACCCGTGGTTATGCTGCATTAATTACATGGCAAAAGAGATTTTGCAGATGTGATTATAATTACTACCAGCTGCAGTGACATACTGGTAGATGCTGCTACTTGGCAGTGTAAGGACACATGGGAGGCCAGGTTCGAGTCCCAGCTCACCCTAAAAGTTGAACACAGTGGCACATGCCCATCGTTCCAGCTATTTGGGAGGCTGGGGTAAGAGAATCATGACCCTGTGCTATAGCTTACATAATAGTTTGTCCCCCAAAGCTTTATGTGCTGCAATTTGGTCCCTAATGTAATAGCATTGGGAGGTGGTGAGATTTTTTTTTCTTTAAGTGATTTTTACTAAAGGGTGTATGCACTCACTGGAGACAGAGAGAGACAGTGAGAAATCACCCCTTGGGGGTATGACCATGCCACGATCCTTTCTCCTCCATTCTCCTCTTGGGATTTTGAGCACCTACGCACATGTGCCCGGTGACAGTTTTAAACCACTGGGTCCAGGACTTGAACCATGGTTGGCTACACTGGAGTCCAGAGCCTTAACCACTAAGCCACCTGCTGGCCCTTAAGAGGAAAATCTCCCTTCAACATGGGTGGGCACCTTGCCAGATAAGATTGGTGTGCGTCCGTGAACAGAAGGCCCACCTTTGGTGGGGTCATGCAGCACCATTGGCTAGGAGTGTGGCAGGGACAAAGCAACAAAGTGAGAAAAGTCTCTTTTCTCCTTCCCTCTGTCTGCACAAAGATCCTGACCTGCGTGCTTCTCTTGGCCACCTTGTGGTGCAGCAGAGACAGGCCAGATACTGGGCCTGTGCGCTTAGATTTCCCAACCACTAGAATCGTGAGTCAAGTAATCCCCATTCTTTGTAAATCTCCCAGTCTCTGCTATTTCTGTTTACTAACACGATAATGGATTAATATATCCTAATTTTTTTATTTTTAATTTTTTAAGAAAATGACTACTAATCCATTGATTTTTTTTTCTTTTTAAGTTTTTGTCATAGAGCATGTTCACTCACCAGAGGACAGTGAAAGGGAAAGTGAGAAACCACTTCCCCAGGAAGATGGCCATGCCACAATCCTTTTTTCTCGATTCTCCTGGGATTTTGGATGCACATGGCATGATTTTCAGGCTGTCAGATCCAGGACTTGAACCACAGCCAGCCATGTGAAAGTCCAGCACCTTAATCATCATGCCACCTGCTGGCTGGCTCCAGGTGATTTTAACAAAGAAAGTATATCCTGAAGAACCAGCAGTTAGCATAATGGCTATGTCGCTGGACTCCCACATAGTCGACCGCAGTTCACGTCCCGGACATGGTGGCTTAAAACTTATGCTGGGCGCATGTGCCTAAGATCCCGAGAGGAGAATGGAGGAGAAGGGATTGTGGCGTGACCATCCCCCCGGCGGGTGATTTCTCGCTTTCTGTCTCTATGTCTCTCTCTGTCTGTCTGGCAAGCGCATGCACCCTATAATGAAAATTAAAAAAACCTCTCAAAAAAAAAAAAGTATATCCTGGATTACCCAGATAAGGGCAATGTGATCAAATCAGCTTTTTTTCCCCCCTTTTTTAAAGAGTGATTTTTACTATAGGGCGCCTGCACTCACTGGAGACAGAGAGACAGAAAGCAAGAAATCACCCCTTCCCAGGAGGAGTGGCCACACTGCAATCCCTACTCCTCCGTTCTCCTCTCAGAATCCTGGGCACGCACACACATGCACCCGACCTGAGTTTTAAGTCGCTGGGTCCAGGACTCAAACCTCTTCATCAAACTTTTACCTATGAGTTTTAGTATCCATTGATCATTTCCACCTGACTCAATCATTAATCTGATAGCTGTGAGACTGCTACTCTTTAATGTTCCGTCAAATCTGGGCAGGGGGAGATCCTTTGAACTGGCAGCTGTGTCATTTTGACAAATCCCCATCATTCTTTGAGAACTTACTAACTTTCTGACCCAAAAAATGATCTGGGCTTGCTTTGTATTCTCCCATCCCCATAATTTCTTCAAGGAGCCTTGAGTCCTCCTAATGGGGCATCACATTTAGGAACCAGTATTTCATGAGTGAGGCTAACTCACTGCGCCAAGGAGTGACTTGCTTACAAATCAAGGAAGTTTATGGATCAAGGAAGGTGTGTGTGTGTGTGTGTGTGTGTGTGTGTGTGTAGGTGCAGCATAAATTCAGAGGTGTCTCCACTTCCACCCTAGCACCACAGTTACTTGCTACTCTCCCCCACTAGTCTTTATATTTGTGTCTCCCATCACTAACAATGAGAAACACGATATCCATAGTCCTATGACAGAGAGAGAGTAGTTTCAATATTACACATGTTCTTAAACGTAATTTGCAAATTTGGGGGGCAGTAAATGGCGTAGCAGTTACTTGCTGGACTCCTACATGGTTGACCATGGTTCAAGTCCCAGACCTGGTGGCTTGAAAGTCATGCCAGGCACAAGTGCATGCATGCATGATCAAAATCCCAAGAGGAGAATGCGAGAGAAAGGATTGCAGGATGGCCATCTCCCCTGGAAGAGTGATTTCTCACTTTCTGCATCCCTGTCTCTCTGGTGAATACACATGCTCAATAGTAAAAATCCTCTTAAAAAATATAATTTGAATTGGGATCCATTTTTATCATTTAGGAGTCTTCCGATATAATAACAGAAACTGATAGCAAGTTTAATGCAAAGACAATTTATTAGGAGGTTATCAAGCATCTTCAAAACCAAGAGGGAACTCAGCTTAATGGAACCATTCTCATGATTCGGCCTGAGTGAATAATTCCACTCTTTGAGTCTGTCATTCTACTTAGTATCAATTCTAGATGGGAGTAGTAGACTGGCCTGGCTTTGGTAATGTGTCAACTGTAGGAACCACCCACTGGGATGTTCCCCAATCATCTCCTTCTCCTGGTATCCACACCCTTGTACAGTCTCTGCCCACATGGTACCAGGGTTGGTCTTTATGATCATGCTACATGCATACAACAAAAGTGATGGTATGTCATGTCCAAGAAAGTAGTTTTCATCTCATGCCCCTCATTATCACTCACTCTGGGGAAATATGGCATGAGTACTCGTACAAGCACACCCAAGTGGCAAGAAATTTAAGCCTCTTGCCAGGGTTGCATATAAGTAACCCTGAAAGCAGATCCTTTATACTGGCCCTTCCTACACTGGACCAGAGCTTATCTGTGTGACAAGAGCATGCCACAACAGAAGTTGGGGTTTGCTACTTTATATAATTAAGTTACAAAACATAGAAGCAGGCTTCCTTGCTCACTCATCATGTTTTCCCCCCTGAGGAAAACCATGTTGTGGAGAGTTAATGGAGAAGCCCATATATTAAGGAACTCAATTCTCTTGCCATCAGTCATAGGAATAAGTTTGAAAGTGCAGTCCATAGCCCCAGCCAACAGTTTAACTGCAATCTCATGAGAGATCCTGAGCCAGAACCACCATCTAAGGCACTACCAGATTCTTAATGCTCAGAAACTGTGTGAGATAATATGTATTGATTATTTAAGCTTCTAAGATTTAGGGTGACTTGATACACAGTGATAGTTAACTAATATACCACCTCTGGCTATAATAGACTGGAGAGACTTACCTTTGCTCTGATAAAAAATAATAATGTAAACAAGACGTAAAGGTAATGTATAGAAAGTATTAATGAAAGACAACCTTGTCAAGTACTCTCAAGCATACTTATGATTTCCAGATACATCCATTTACATATAAATTGTTATGTGAATTGTAAGCAATCTTATCCACTCATTAAAATAGGTTTCCCCAAGGAGTCTCACTGGTTAATGCTATGCTTGGTTTCTACCGGTGCATGCAATTCAGAATAAAACTAGTTTAAAAGTATTCCATAATTCAGACATTTTATCCATAGGGACAGACTTTCTAAAAAATAAACTATTTGATCCTGAATTTTTCCTTGGACTATTCCTGTCATTAATACAATCTTAAGTATTGGTAGAAGCAAAAATTCAATCACTTGTGAGAACAAATACTGAGTCAAAGTTTCGCTTATAAAAACAGAGAGAGGCAAAACCAGTGTCCAGAGACTCAAACTACCAGCAAGAGAAAAAAATTTCAATCCTACCAGCAGAAGAAAGCATGAATATTGAAAAGTCATTAACATTATAAACCTAATTAAAGGTTCAAAACAAGAGTGTTGATTTCCCACAGGTAGTTGTATATAATTGTAAAAATAAATAAATAAACAGTAATTCTAATGTCAGTAAATTAGCATGGGACTTTAACACTAAGCAAGCAGGAAAGGGAGAACTAGCAAAAGTGGGTGGAGAAATTCGGTCTTTACAATTGCACAGAAACCATGTCAGAATGAACATTTCCTTACAGCTAATGACAGGCCATGTGGAATGGTCAAGACATATTCATCTACAGTTCTCTCTCGGTGACTACCCTAACTGTTGGTCATCATCTCAGGTTGCTTGAGCTGCCATGGCAAAATACCAGACTGCATGGTTTAAATAAGACATTTATTTCTCATGGTTTTGGAAACTCAATGACCCCAAATCAAGATATCAGTCAATTGGATTTATGGTGAGAACTCTCTTTCTGACTTCCATACATACCCTCTTGTTATGACCTCACATGGAGAACAGAGATAGAGCCAGTATTTACTACTCTTTTCATAAGAGCACAGCTCTGTCATCCTGGGACCTCACCACAGAACATCATTTAACCACTATCAACTCTTCACAGGCCCATCTCCAA